TTTTATATTCTTAATCTTTGCCATTCTGACAGGGGTTAGGTGGTATCTCATTGTGGTTTTTATCTGCATCTCCCTTATGATGAGGGATGTTGAGCATATCCTCATATGCTTTTTGGCTGTTTGTATGTCTTCCTTAGAGAAATTTTTGTTCAGCTCATTTTCCCATCTTTTAATTGGGTTAATCATTTTTATTTTTGCATAAGGCACTTGAGTTCCCTGTGTATTCTGATTATCAGTCCCTTGTCTGAGGTATATTTAAGAAAAATATTTTCCCATTCTGAGGGTTGTCAGTTCACACTTGTTACTGTGTAACAAGTTTGCTGTGCAGAAACTTCTCAGTCTAATATAGTCCCACTTGTCTATTTAGGGATTATTGCCTGTGCTGTGGGAGTCTTATTTAAGAAGTCTTTGCCTACTCCAATGTCTCCCAGAGTTTCCCCAGCATTTTCCACCAGTAGTTTTATTGTTTGCGGTGTTAGGTTCCGATCTTTGATCCATTTTGAGTTGATTGTTGTTAATGGTGAAAGATGGGGGTTCAGTTTCATCTTTCTGGGTGGCACCCAGTGTGATTTTTAAGCCACCAGGTTCAGGACTTGAATCATGGTCAGCCATGTGGGAGTCCAGTGTTGTAACAACTTTGCCACTTTCTGGTCTATCCACAGTTTTTAATAAGAAATCTATCATCTAATTTCTTTATTATATAGGTATAGTATAATTTTTCTCTAACTACTTTTAAGATTTTTATTTTGTGTTTTGTTTTAAAAAATTTAGCTATGGGGACCACCAAATGGATTAATGGCTATGTCACTGGATTCCCACACAGCCAACTATACTTTGAGTTCCAGACCTGAAGGCTTGAAACTCATGCTGGGCACACATGTGTTCATGTCAGAAATCCTGAATGGAGAATGGAGGAGAAGGGATTGTGGCGCGGCCATCCTTTTTGGGGGGTTATTTCTTACTTTCTGTCTCTCTCTATCTCTCCAGCGAGCACACACATCCTATAGCAAAAATCTCTCCCCTAACAAAAAAATTAATTATGATGTATCTTGGTATAGAATTGACTTTCTCTGTTTAGGGTTTATTTGGGTTCTAAAGTCTTTAGGCTTATGCATTTTGTCAAATTCAAGATGCTTCCATCCATATTACTTTGGAAACTTTTCATCTCTACTCATCCTCTCCTTCAAAAATTTTGAGAACATGAATGTGAGACCTTTTGCTTTAGTTCCACACACTCCTAAGGCTTTGTTATTGCTTTTGTTTGTTGTTTGTTTGTTTGTTTTTTGTTTACTATCTCTCTGCTGTTCAAATTATTTGTTTGCTGTAGACACAGGGCCTCACTGTGTTACCCAAGCTAGCCTCAAACTCACAATTTTCCTACTTCAGCTTCCTAAATAGCTGGGATTACAGGCATGCGCTACACATCCAGGTCAGATTATGCATTTTCAAAGTTCATTTATTTCATTGATGAGAGAGAGAAGGTGAGAGAAAGAGATAGAGACAGAAATATAAGCACTCCCAACAGGGTCCCCATGCTGCAATCACCTCTAGTTTCAGCCAGCTCTTATCATGGGCACACATTCATCTGACATGTTTAGAGAGATCCTAGGATGCAAACCCAGCACCTTTCCCATGTGGGTTCAGCCACATTACAGCTGGACCACTACCCAGTCCCCGGGCATTTTGTATTGCTCTTTTCAGGAGTCAATGATTCTTTTCCTGGCCCCTCCGTTCTGCTGTCAAGCACATTTATTGACTTCTTTCTTTTGCCTATTTAATTTATCAGTACTTAATTTCCATTTGGATCTCATTTCTATATCTTTATTTAGCCAAGACTTTCCTTTTTATTGCTAAGAATGTGTAGTTTACATTTATTCAATCGTGATAAAACTTGCAAATTGGAGTATTTTATCATTATTCATGTAAGGATTAAAAATGGAAAGGAGAAAGAGGGAAGGAGGGAGGCACTCTTTTTTTTAAAATCATTTTTATTTACTCATTCATTTATTTTAATTTGACCAGAGAGAGAGAGAGAGAGAGTGAGACGGCAAGCCACCAGGTCCAGGACTCAAACCGTGGTGGGCCATGGGGAGTGTCCAGCACTTTAACCACCATGCCACCTGCTGGTCCCCAGGAAGGAAGTACTCTTAACAAGATCTCCTCAGGTCACTATCCCCTTCCCCTAGTCCTCCAAATCATTAAGATCATAGGTCCACACACCTGGCATGTTTTCAGTCGACTTTGGATCTGAACCTGTGGTTGGCTATGTGGCTTCCAGTCCTGCAGTTCAGTACCCTACTGCCTGTGGCAGTGGCACTGAGGCTGGACCATTAAAGTGTTTCTATCACAACTACTTTAAAATTTTGGTCAGATAATTCTAATATCTTTGTTTTTCTGAAATCACAATTTTTCTACCTCATCTATTGACTGGCTTTTTTCAGCCAATTTGAAATAGGGTTTTGTATGATAATTTTTCTTTTTCATTGAAACATAGACCTTTTGGTCATTATTTTAGGAGGCCCTAGTTCTTATTTAAACTTTCTAGCTGTGTCTGACTTGCATCAGTGCTTCATCAGTTTTTTTTGGGAGGATCTGCCTCCTTATTGCACCTATGGGAAGTTAGTCAGTTAGCCCAACATCTCTCCCATGGGTGTGTTGGAATCCCTTACAGATATGGAGCTCGAGACTAGAAAAGACTGGGCACAGAAGGGGAGTCCTCCAATGCACACCACTCTTTCACAAATTTGAAAGCCGCTGAACAATTGGAGTGATAGGTGGAGATGGGGTATGAGACCGAGGAAAGAATGTTTTTTGTTTGTTTTGTTTTTCTTAACAAAACATGCTAGTGCGTGTTTGCATTCTGAGACCATCTGTGTGGTTTAAGAAGGTAAAGCAAGGCTGTGGGGGGCTCTATATGAATGGCTTGGACAGTGCATTCTGGCTTTCCTCCCCCACTACATTCATCTTCACAGTTTGGTCCAGGGGCTTCCAGAATAGGGCATGTGATTAAATCCCCGTTTGCTGGCACACAGTGTTTCTTTTTTTTTTTTCATTTTCTTTTCTTTGCTTCCCATGGCAATGAACTCTGCAGGGCCTGCATCATTGTAAGCCTAATCAAATGCTGTGATCATAGGCAGATGGAAAACATGCACTTTGTAGAAGCTTCTTGTATCCATATATAGGGGGAAAAAAGCTTTCCATGCTACTAAAATTCTGAGAGTTTTTACTCCTGTATTTCCAAATTTACATCATCTGTAACCTGGATTATTAAGCTTAAATCCATAATAACTTCTGAGTTGTTAAATTTATACTTAGATATTTTGGTTTTGTAGTTTAAAAACAAACAATTTCTTAACACCTTTTGTAGAGGGAGCTTATGTATTAACACATATTCAACTAAAAGAGGAAAGAATAATGCCTATATAGATTTAAATGTATTTACCTTTAGCATGAGGGCCTCAGAATCCTGAGGATATGGAAGTAGGGTGGGGTCTGAGTTAGCTGGATAGACAAAGAAACTACTGCAAGGAGACTGTAACTCCACACTTAAACAGCACACTGTTTATAGAATAAAAATATGAAGTTTGTTTTTCATATACATATACTAATTTTCCTACAGACACAGATGTTATCGTGACTAAAATGCAAAAATCACTTAAAAGCGAATTCATAATTGCTCTTGTTCACCAAGTATTCACTAATCACAGGAAACTAAAGAAAAGGAACGACTAGCACATGGAAATGTATAAAGGCTGGGAATCATAGTGCAATTTCAAATTGATTGCAAAATACCAGTGATGTGTTTAACAAAAAGATAAGTGATATTCTGTCCAAAGAATACAACTGTGTGTCAATGTAAAGTTTAAAACAAGTGTATGTAATAAGAAGTGCCAGCCTAGGAATTTCAAAGGTTTCTATAAATGATGATCAGTATATTTAAAGAAAAAAAAAAAAGTGGTTCCATCTGTTACTTTCTATTCCTAACAAAAGGGGAAAAGGAGATCATTTTGATCAATGTACTTTTAATCTTAGTCTTGGTATAAAAGAAATCACAGTGTTATGGCAATTCATTTATAGAGGTTAATGTAATATGATGTGGCTTTTCATGGTAGCATGGGTTTCACTCACTGAGCGCTTGAGACTTTGATTTGCCACATTACCTGCTGTGGCTTAAGTGATGCAAAATAATTATTGGGACTTCCTTGTCACAGTGGCCTATTCCACACCTGCACCCTTTTGTTGGGAGCCCGACAGGGATGCTGGATGTGAGGTCTCCACTGAATAGATATCCTCCCTGAGTAGTCCTCCTACACCAGATTGATTTATGGGTGTATCAGGCTCTTTGTTAGCATGTAAACCCCTAATTAATTTAAAGCCCTCTGTAGAGAAATTAAACTCCTAGTTTAGATTTTTAACAGACTCAGATGGTGCTAATAAAGGCGAAGCAAGTCTTATGAATGGATTTACCATGGTCACTGGTGTTCATCCTTCACAATGAGCATTGGTATATGAAGCTCAGAATATACCCTCAAATAAAGAATGGGCTGTCAGGAAATCATTCTGTTGTGGCTTCTAACCCAATTAGGCTTATCATTTGAGGTCTAGCTTCCCATCTGTGGGGTGAGGTGGGAAGAGACACACAGGGGCAGACACAGAGCAGAAGAACTTGAATAAGGGAGAGAGAAAAATCTGTTTGGATTGCATAAATCTTGAAAGTCTCTTTAATTAGTGACTCCAAGTTAAAATGCTACTGGAGTTACCTTTGGTGT